TGTAGAGTTTACAGTCAGCCAGGCTTCCTGTGGTTCTGGATGAAGTCCGTGTTGTTTCTCTGAGGTATTAATCAATTGTTGTGAGCGGCATTAACTTCCCGGTGTTTATCTCTGCCGCCATCTTAGTTTCTCATGGCACCATTTTCTTAACCAAAAGTTGGGACACATGCTCCAAAAAGCTCTATGGAATAATTAAGGACTATTTTTCTAAGACATTGTATTTATGTCAATTCACAAGTAATCATTCATTCTTATAAAAAATAATAAAAAGTATTTAAAATTCAGGACTATCACCTCTCCTATGGGAGGCCTGGCCTCTGTGCTTTTGGGATTGGGGAAGAGAGCACAGCTAGACAGGGCACCTTCAGATCGATGTTTCCAGGAATACCTAGTGTAGTCCTGCCTTCCCTCCATTCTCCTTGGCAACATAAATCTGGCCTCTGCTCTTCTTGTAGGAACACCAGAATGAAAAGATAACACATCTCTCTGGTTTCTAAAATGTCAGTTCTAGTGGTTGAGCGTCAATCTAGGAACCAGGAGGTCACGGTTCGATTCCCAGTCAGGCTGCGCTTGGGTTGCAGGCTCGATCCCAATGGTGGTGTGCAGGAGGCAGCCGATCCCCAGCCTGCAGACTGAAGGGTTCCGGGTTTGATTCCGGTCAAGGGCATATGCCCTGGTTGCGGGCTCAATGCCCAGTAGGGGGCGTGCAGAAGGCAGCCGATCAATGATTCTCTCTCATCATTGAAGTTTCTGTGTCGCTCTCCTTCTCCCTTCCTCTCTGAAACCAATAAAATATATTTTAAAAAATAAAATGTAAAAATAAAACAAATGTCAGTTCTACCAATCACCATTGCTCACCTGGCCCTCTGTCCTTTCTCTCACCAGGTGAAGAGTCACAGTTTGAGATGGACATTTAAAGGACCAGCCAGCAGATCGAGCAATGCCTCTGGGCCTCTCTGGCCCTTCTCCGGAGAAGCGTCACACCGCCAGTTATCATCCTGGGCAGGCACTGGGAGGGGGTCGACCACCCCAGTCCTCTGCTCCCTCAGTCAGGGCACCAGTCCCCCCTTCCTCTTGGTGAACACCAGCAGATACCTCTTTGTGCCTCCATTCATGCAAGAGCTGGCACCCCAAGGGGAGTGACTCTCAAGAGCACACACCCTGCAGCCTGGGGCCAGGAAGTGGACTTGGAGGACCCCTTCTGAATGACCATCGGCTCTCTTCCTCTGAGGGCACACCACCCCTTCCTTAAGTTGGTGTGCTTGGGGGAGTCCCCCTCCCCTACTTCCTCAACAGAGGAAATAAAAGCCACCGTTGCCCCTGTCTGAGCTTTTTTCTACTCCATGGGGATAGCTAACACCAACTACTCTGCACAGTGCATGTAAAGCACTTTCTTATACATTATCTCCTTCGATTCTCATGCTGATCTGTGACGGAAGTAGAGCAAGTGTCATCCTCACTTTACAGCTCGGAAGTCAAAATCACACACTAGCAAAAGGAGAGATGGGACTGGGTGTGAACTGCGCCACTCTCCATCTCTTGTTTTTCAGTGGTGGGTGCCGCCTCTTTTCTGGGCTTTGTTTCCTAAGCCTGGCAAGTGACCTGTCACCTTCACTCTGTGCTTCGTTCATGCAAGAATCAAAGGGAAGAGCCTGAGCCTTGGCCAGTGTAGAGCCTCTTCGATCCATGTGCCCCTGGTATTCGTTGAGTGATCCCTTTGTGTGAGCTGCCATTAGGGATACAAACATGAGACAAGCCTCGCTCTCTCTCTCTTTTTTCCACCAGCTTTCTGCTTTACCATTTCATTGAAGCATACGATTTACCAATTAAGAAAAGTACCACAAAAGAGATTACATAGGATTAGTTACCAGCAAGTGGTCCCTGTAAATGGAGGCTTCATAGAAGTGACCTTACAGTTGGTCCTGAGAAGGAGCGGGCTGGGCGGAGGCAGGGGCCCAGTGCTTCCGGGATCGGGTGGTCTTACGGATTCAGGGTGTGCAAGGACAGGACATCAAGTTGCCTGCTTTGGCCAGAGCAGGCAGTTTATGTGAGTGGGGATGGCTTTTATAAATGTCTAAAAAAGGCCAGATCTCTAAGGGCCTTCCTTGGATGCCATGCAGACGTGGAGGAGCCCTTCTGAATGACCTCGCTCTGTAAGCACTTTCCTAGACATTATCTCATTTTTGATTCTCATGCTGATCCTGTGACAAGTAGAGCAAGTGTCATCCTCAGTTTACAGCTTAGAAGACCAGCTCAGAAGTTAAAGTCACACACTAGGAAATGAGAGATGGGCCTGGGTTTGAACTGGGTGTTTGCTGAGACACAAGGTGTTTCTCATCACAGGCTGGGGGGTGATGGCCTCCGGCCAAGAGGCAGTGGCTGACATGGACTTGACAAGCTCTGTGCTCATAGCACTGGTCGATCTGCTGTTTGGGGAGAAGCGGGCCTTAGTGGCCAAGTCCCTGGCCTGGCCTTTTCTGTAGCTGAGCTGGAGTCCCCTTCCTGCAGCTGGAATCCATGTGTCTGGTGATGGTATGTGGAAGGGCCCAGCCACAGTGGCCTGTTGACTCTAGGCACACAGCATACCCTTTTTGTATAAAAAGAAAGTGAAACCATGGAGAGACCACCACCACCAGAGCAAAGAACAACTAAAGCTCCAACTAGGATCAAATGAAATCTGATCAGCCTTCCCAATCCCTTAGCTTTTCATTGAAAGCACCTTACTCTCCCCGCTCCTGACCAACCAGAGGTCTTGCCCACAAGTCCACATGATCCGATCCATTCCTCTTCTAGGTGCTGTATTTCAGGATCCAAGAGACATAAAAAAAAAAAAAAAAATCAGCTTCTCTGACAGTAAGAAAATTGCTCACAAGTTTCTTCACTTTCTTCAATCTTTCTCATTGATTGAAAGTATCCTCCAGAAAACCCAGGTATTTCTTGAGCATTATTCTGGCTGGATCATGTGGAATAACAAAGACCTATGACACAGTCCTTATCCTTGAGGAAGTTAAAATCTTAGATACCAGTAAGGCTCCTATGGTCCAGTGTAAGATCCCAGTGTATGGAGTCTTAAGGCTTCTCTAGAGATACTCTAGGAAACCATCACAGTTTGGCCTGCTCACCCTTTAGCATCAGCAAAAGCACTGTTTGCAGTCAGGGAAACCCAGTTGACCGTGGGACAGAGCCACATGCGATAAACAGGAAATAGAAGTGTTTTAAGCTATGCTGTGTGTTCCTTAGGAACTTACAACCTGATCTGGAGATGAGAGGTTCTATGAATAGTAAAAGGACACCCAGAAATGTCATAAAACAATATGTGATTGTCCGAGGGTAGGAGGCTGTGTTGATGCCACGAGTGAAGAGAATCAGATTCCAGCAGGATTTTAATTTGGGGAGCGCCTTCCTGGATCATGAATGGCTTGAGGTACAGGGGCCAGGAGAGAAGTTTAGCTGGAGGAATGTCAAAGCTGTTGGGTTTTCCATACATAAATGAAGAGGCTGAACCAGGTTGGTGGAAATGGTAATAAGCTACTTTGGAAAAGGAGGCTTAACAGCACTTGGTGAAGTAGGAGGAAAGATGCGTTGGAGATCTCTGGTCTGTGAGTCTCAGAAAAGAGATCAGAAAAAAATGCCAATTTGGGAGCTGCACATAATAAGCGGTAAGAAAGGCAAAAACAGCCGAGACCGGTTTGGCTCAGTGGATAGAGCGTCGGCCTGCGGACTGAGGGGTCCCGGGTTCGATTCCGGTCAAGGGCATGTGCCTGGGTTGCGGGCACATCCCCAGTGGGAGATGTGCAGGAGGCAGCTGATCGGTGTTTCTCTCTCATCGATGTTTCTGGCTCTCTATCTCTCTCCCTTCCTCTCTGTAAACAATCAATACTATATTTAAAAAAAAAAAAAAAGAAAGAAAGGCAAAAACAAACTTTGGGGAATGCTCCCAGTGAGCATGAGTGGCAGATAGGGACCTGAACTTCCAGTAATTTTCCAACCTCCACACTACTGTTGGCACAGCTGTGGGCATCCCTCCAGGTCCCAGGGGGTCAGGTGAGCTAGGGAGGAGGCCATCTTTTGACTGGCACTCTTTAGTATGATATTCATCATTGTTGAAACAACTCAAGGAAAGTTCAAGGACACATAGCCAACCAAGAAATCCCAAGGCCTGAAACCAGTATTTCAGGAAGACCTGGGTTCTTTAAAAGACTCAGCAAGTGGTCTTTTCCAGATATATCCAACCTCATTCTGATTTAACAAGCCTTTGTTAAATCTCTTATCCACACCCAGCATGATGCTAGAATGGATCTTAAGGCAGTGGTTCTCAACCTTGGCTGCACATTAGAATCACCTGGGAATCTTTTTAAAATCCTGATTTCTGGGTCTCATCTTCCGGAAATTCTGTTTCTTCGTTATGAGGTGGGGCCACAACATTAGTAACAAAGAAACAGAATTTCCGGAGGATGACACCCAGAAATCAGGATTTTAAAAAGATTCCCAGGTGATTCTAATGTGCAGCCAAGGTTGAGAACCACTGTCTTAAGGCAATACAAGAGAATTTCAAGACAAACACCTGAGAAAAAATAATCCCAGGAGGCATGATTAAGTGCAAATAAGTGGAGTGAGAGTGTGACAGGTCAGCAGGAGAGGAGCGGTTGAAGAGTGCAAAGGATACGGAGGCAGTAGGGAAACTGCCTGAGCACAGGTGTGCTGTCTGGAATGAATATAGTGTGTGAGACCTAAGTGTGCTGGGTGGCACAAGGTAAATTCAGATACCATAGCTTTAGATTATTGAAACAAAAAGCATTGGTTGAATGAGTGCCTTCTGCATTCTGGAGCTTTGCTACAATCTTATTTATGGTCCCCATCACTTAAAGTAGGTGTTTTTATTCCCGTTTTATACATGTCCATGGCTAATGTATATCAGAATTGGGATTCCAGGTTCTGTCTGTCCAGTATGAAAGCCCATCCTCATTATAACACATAGGCTGGAACTGAGATCTGGGCTGTTTGGAGTCTGAGCAGTAGGCAGCTAGGATGTTGGTTGGAGGTATTAGAGCACAAGGCAGTAACAGATTGGTGTTAAGGTAAAGCAGAGTCATTCAGATGTTCATTGGGTTGCTTAGACTTAGTGGGGTGGGGGTAGGGAGACAAAGGAATGAAAGAAGATTGATAGCATTTTCTCATTTATGGAAGGGCTATTTATTTAGTGCCTACTATGTGCCTATGTGCAGGCACTGTTTTATGCACTAAAGAGAGCAATGGGCAAAACTAAGCCTTTCAGAAGCTCGTAGAACACCTCTAGGAATTGAAGCCATGTGTGTGATTCCTGTGTTGTGCATGCAGCTTTCATTGCTGAAATCAGAAACCTGGCCTCCTCACAATTCAGTTCAGAATTTAGCATGGCCAACCCTCCCTGCCCCCACTGAGCAGACATGTGCTCCTTGCTGTGGGGACGGTTAATCCTGCATAGAAGAGCTCTGACAGGCAGCAGACACCTCTGTTTCTGGAAATAACGAGCAAAGCCACCTCAAATGCAGCAGATTAAACAGGCATGAGAAGGTAAGGACATGCAGGTTAACTGGGGAAAAGTACAATCCCTAATGATTAGGTTTCCTTGAATGAGTGTGACTTCAACGTATCCTGCAGAGAGTGAGAGAGGACGCCCCACTGCCAACGTGGAGGGGAATCTTTCCTTCCCCAACTGTTCAGAGACCATAGAACAGGAAAGCCAGTTTTAAAGGAAGCCCTTTGACCCTGGCCTGGTAGCTCAGTTGATTAGAACGTCCTCCCGATACACCAAGGTTGTGAGTTTGATCCCTGATCGGGGCATATACAAGAAGCGATGAATGCATAAATAAGTGGAACAACAGATATATGCCCCCCCCCCCCCCCTTCTCCCAATACTTCAGGAAGAGCTGGATTTGTTAATAGACTCAGCAAGTGGTCTTCCTCAGTCTCTAAAATATATATATTTTGCACTTACTCAATTGTGCACTTACTCAATTCACTGATAAATTGTGCTAGTGGTGCTGGTCTGATTTGGGGGGAAAGTAGCATGACTTCATCTCTCCTTTCCTCTGTAGATGGCATCTAACCCAGGTCAGCTCTTTTGCACTGCCTGGAGGCAAAAGAGGTTTGTGTGTGGGCACCTTGTGATGTGTGTGTGTCTCTGGTCCACACCTCTATCTAGTCAGCCCTAGTTTGGGGAGATCACAAACCACAGAGGAACAATGTATTCATGTTTAGTAATACATTTTTTATTGAAGCATAACATACAGGAAAGTGCACAAAGAAGGACAGTTGAAATGAATTTCAAACTGAATACACCT